TTTTCTTATCTTATTGCACTGGCTAAAATCTCCACTGTTCAATAAAAGTGGTGAGAATGGACACCTTATCTTGTTTCTGATCTTAATGGGAAAGCAGACAGTCTTTTACCATTAAAAAATGATGTTAGCTATAGTTTTTTTCATAGATGTACTTTGTTGGGTTGAAGAAGTTCTCTTTTATTCCTAGTCTGTTGAGACCTTATCAGGAATGGATGTTGAATCTTGTCAAAATCTTTCTCTCTCTAGAAAGATGATCATTGTTTTAAATTGGTAAATATGATGAATTATATGACTGATATTTGGATATCAATTCAATCTTTCATTCCTGGGATAAAACTCACTTTGTCATGATGTATTATCCTTTTGGTATTTGGATGGACTCAACTGGTTAAAATCTTGTTTAGAATTTTAGACCTATGATCATGAGGGGTATTAATTTATGGAGTTTTTTTACTCTAATGTCTTTATTAGGTTTTAATATCAGGGTAATGCTGTCCTCATAGAATGAATTAGGGAATGCTCCATTATTTTCAGTGTTTCAGAAGATGTTCTGTAAAACTGGTAACATTTCTTCAACAATATGGGCACAGATTAGCTAGGTGCCTCTAGCTCAGGATCTCACACAAGGATGCAGTCAAGAGGCCATCCATTGCTGCAATTTTCCAAAGCTCAACTGGAGTAAAATCTGCTTCCATGCTCATTGCTGTTAGCAGGCCTCAGAAGACCTGTTTTCAGGTTCATTGATATGGCTGTTAGTAAGCCTTAGTTCTTGAGGGATGTAGACTAGAAATCAGTTGCTTGCTACGTGGGCCTCTCCACAGGGTAGCTCACAACAAGGAGGTGGCCTCCCTCAGAGAGAGCAAGTTAAAGAGTGAGAGAGATCCAAGAAGGAAGACACAGTCTTTTTTGCAACCTTATCCAGAAAGTGATATCATATAAGCAAGTCAGTAAGTCCAGCCCATATTCAAAGAGAGGGGATTTCACAAGAGTGTGACTATCAGGAGGTTGGAATTAATGCAGAAATGTTAGAGACTGCCTGCCACAGTTGTTCTTAATATTACCTTAGTATCTTTCTAGTATCTGTAGAATCTTGGGTAATGTCACCTCTCCTTTGTTATTTAGGTAATTATATATTCTCTTCCCCTCCTAATCATTTGAAGTAGAGGTTGGCCAATTTTATTGATCTTCATAAAGAGCTTTGGTTTCATGTTTTTTTTCCTGATTTTTTTTGTTGTTGTTCTATTTCAACAGTTTCCACTTTCATCTTTATTATTTCCTTTCTTCTGCTTATTTTTGGGACTCACTTGCTCTTTTTTGTTGTTTCATAAAGTAGATCTTTCTCCTTTTCTAATATGGAGTTTAGTGCTATCATTTCCCCATAAGTACTGCTTTAATGGCATCCAACAAATTTTGACATGTTATATTTTCATTTTCATTCATTTGAAAATACTTTCTAGTTTCTCTTTTGACTTTTTCTTTGACCATGAGTTATTTTAAAGTGTTCTATTTAGTTTCCAAATATTTCAAAATTTTCCAGAGTTCTATCTGTTATGGATTTCTAATTTAATTCTATTGTAGTCAGGGAACATACTCTGTATGAATTGAATGCTTTTAAATTTAATGAGACTTTTTCTATGACCCAGAATATGATCTATCTTGGTAAATGTTCCATGTGTACTTGAAGAGAATGTGTATTCTGTTGGTGTTGGGTGTAAGATTATATAAATGTCAATTAGGTCAAGTTGGTTGACAGTGCTGTTCAAGTCTTCTATATCTTTACTAATTTTCTCTTGTAGACTACATTAAAAGTTTTTTTAAAAAATATTTTTAAAATTTATTAATGAGAGACATACAGAGAGAGGCAAGGCACAGGCAGAAGGAGAAGCAGGCTCCCTGTGAGGATCCCAATGCGGGGCTTGATCCCAGGACCCTGGGATCACAACTTGAGCCAAAGGCAGACACTCAACCACTGAGCCACCCAGGCACCCCTACATCTAAAATTTTTATCAAAAATGTAGTATCTACAACTGAACTTGAACATTACTATAATATTTATATCTTATTAAAATATTTTTCTTCCTCTGGTACTACACACACACACACACACACACACACACACACACACACACACACTCACACTCACAAATTGAGAGACCAAAGAACTGAATGAAATGAAGCATCTGTGTTGCTGCACCTTTGAACAAATCTTATTATTTAGGAAAGCACTTTGAAACTGGGCTATTTTATCTTTCCTTGTCTGAACTTGTAAGCTACTTAATTGCAAAATGTGTTTTTATTCACAGTGCCTCTTATTTTATTCTTTATGCCAAGTCATGTTCCCACTGCAAGCAAGACAGGCATCAAAATCTTCAATGGAATGAAAAAAATATAGGTGTTTCTACTATAACACTGTTTACAAGTGTTCCTACTTTAACAGGATATATAAATGCTTTAAAAACCTTGCATTCTACAAAATTGTGTATAAAAATAATGGGTTATGGGGAAATAGTATGGGGCCATAACAGTTGAAACATATTTAACTTTGTAACCAAAATACTAATAAAAATAATGATTATCCAATCAAAATACTAGCACTCAGCAAATGTCAATTACCACCATTTGTATGCAGATCACAATTGATTTTTGCAACCTTAAATCTACAAGGCATAGGTACTTGAGGACATTCAACAATCAATTGTTTTTAAACACACGGGAAATATCTTCTCTACTTCTCCATCTACTCCTACAGCTCATCACACAGCTTCATAACATAGGAAGTATACCTGTTCTTTTTTTTAAATATTTATTTATTTATTTATTTATTTATTTATTTATTTATTTATTTATTTATTTATGATAGTTACACACACACACAGAGAGAGAGGCAGAGACACAGGCAGAGGGAGAAGCAGGCTCCATGCACCGGGAGCCGGACGTGGGACTCAATCCCGGGTCTCCAGGATTGTGCCCTGGGCCAAAGGCAGGTGCCAAACCGCTGCGCCACGCAGGGATCCCTATACCTGTTCTTAAAGCCATTAAACCAACTACTATTTGTGCAGTTATTGGTAGTACAATATTCTTAGCTTAAGGCTTCCTTCTTTAATTGTAGGAAGGCTTGCCCCTGAATGCTTTAAACTACTGATCTGCTGGGGGAAAATTACATATGAACCAATGATATTATTTTCTTACTTGCCAATTGGGTATTAATATGTACTATAGTAATAGAGAAATGTGTTGTAGCTGCAAAGTCTGTACTCCATAGTTCTCTAACTTTGAAATGCATGATTTTCCCAGTCATTCTCTTAGCAGTAGCTATCATCCTTCCTCCCAGGGTCACTGAAAATATATTTATTGAGCACCTACTATGTTCCAGAGTTTGTTTTAAATGTTGGAGACAGTGATGAACATGACAAAGTCCTGTGTTCACAGGCTATACATTTTGAAGGGATATATAGACAATAAACAGTCAAATCAATAAATATGATAATATCAGAGAGTTATACTTGGTATGAAGAAAATAAAACAGGGTGATAATATATAGGAATGAGATACTGGGGCTGAATGGCCATTCTGTAGACAAGCTACTTCTGGATACAGTGATAAGGGAAGGTTTCTCTAAAGAGGTGATATTTGAGCCAAGATCTAGAAGATGAGAAGGAACCAGTTACAGGGAGATCTGGAGAAGACTGTTGGGCATTGAGAACATAAGGGCCTTGAGATGGGAGTAGGCTTAGTGAATCTGAGGAGCAGAATGGAAAGTGGCTGGGGCAGCCATCAGAGGAATACTAAGGTTTGAGTGCCATGCGGCATGGCCATGCTGAGGTTGACACAGCAGATCCAGTTACTGCTATTTAACAATGCCATGTATTCCATGACTCAAATGGCCAGTGGTGCCCCAAAATGCCTGCTAGAGAAATTCAACTAACTGACCCTCATCTGAATGCCAAACTCAGGCAATGGAACACAGGTGATCATCAAAAAGTATAAGGTTGAAGTGGGGCTAGACAAGTTTGACCTCTCTGAGGGGTTGAAATCTGATGTGGGCTCCATCCAGAATTTAGCTGTGAGCCACAAAGAGAGAGCTAGAGCAGGGCTTCTCAGGTTGCAGCCTGGGACAGTAGGGGCGGGATGATGGTAAAGAGTGTTGGTGTGGGAGAGGTAGGGTGGGTCCTGAGGGAAGAATCCAAGTACAGTGAAGACGGAATTTTGCAACTCCCTTCAGAAAAAGTCTTCATTTAGTTTCTTTTGCCAGCCCTGGGAGCCATGGATATTTACCCTGATGAGCCAGTGACCTTCTAACCAGCCAGAACTTATCTAACAGAATAGCCAAGTAGTAGGGCTTCACTATTTTTCAGAAACCTTAGCCCACCTAGTCTGGTTCCAATCGTATTTATCACAGACTCTAATGTTGCTTTGGAATATTTCTCTACATGTTCTCTGTTACAGGCCCTGTAATACAAATACAAATTTAATACAAATACCTCATTTTCTATGATGAAAACAGAGATAGAAGCAGGAAAACCATAAGAGACTCATAATTCTAGGAAACAAACTGAGGGTTCCTGGAGGGGAGAGGGGAGGAGGTATGGGGTAACTGGGTGATGGGAATTAGGAGGGCACTTGTTGTGATGAGCACTGGGTGTTACATGCAACTGATGAATCATTAAAGTCTATCCTTAAACTGATTAAACAAACAAGAAACTCCAAATATGTAATTTTCTCAGAAGGATCATACTTTCTTTTATGAGGAGAGACTCTTCATTCTCCTATTTGGATATTCTTGTAGTAGTTGCCACAATACTGGGTTAGATTTTTTTTTCCTGAGGAGGAAACTGTACTGCAAGGCCAGGATGATTTCAGGGGAACTTCTCACATAGTGCCACAGTAGGAGAAACTTTGCTGATACTACCTACTAGCTCATCATGTCAAAATGATAATAACACTTTGGGATTCATGATTCAGGCCAATGAGGATGAGAAACTAGGTATGGGGCTGCTTACCTGTTATTCCTGCAGCGAATGGTGAAGCCAAGAAAGAAGACTATTAGAAGAAGTCCACAGCTGAGAAAGGTCCAAACAATACCCAAGAGGACAGGAGATAATGAAGAAATGGTCTTACCGCTGTAGTGGGAAGAGGTCTGAGAATAAAATAAAGAGAAGCTATTAGGAATGAGACTCTTTTATAGATCAAACATGAACTGCCCCATCATCCCCAAAGCTGGGAAATATATGTCCTGCATGAACATTTCCTTCTCCTCTTCCTCCTTCCCCTCCTCCCCCTCTTCCTCCTCTTAATTTCTTCCTTCTCCCCCTCCATCACCACTACCACTGTACCACCACCACTAATAGTAACAACAATAAGAACAACATGTATATCTGAGCAGCCCTGACATTCTATGACTATTCACTCACAATTGTCCTGCAGAGATTATGAAGAGGACTCCGATCCAGCTCCTGACCAGGAAAACTGTCACACAATTCGGAACAGTTTATTTCAGGCTCCATGTCATCACGTGCCCCTTTTGGTGTGTGCTTATTCAGTCTTGGTTACCTGCTGGTTGTTAACCAGCAGATCTTAGACTAAAACACAAGAACAATTCAAATCTTTTCTTTATAGGCACCATTTTGGATCTGGCTCTTGGCTCAGATTCTGGGATGAACAACTGGTTCAGGTGGAAGTGAAGGGTTATTTCACTAGTCTCCTTCATCAGATACCCTCCAGGCTCCTCTTGTGCCTTGCTGGCAGTGCATACCATGTGAGTCAAGAGTGGGCATCTTAGTAACCATTAGATTACACAAAGTGATGATTCTGGCTTGCCACCAGATGGCAGTCACTGCTCCAAGTACTCTCACACAGGTCCAGAAGGAAAGGAAGGCAATTAAACCTGTTAACAAACAAATTATGTCTGTATATATATATATATATACACAAATACACGCACACACATATATATACACACACATTAATATATAAAACATAGATAATACAAAGTCCATATTATATATTAACATATAAATGGTTTATTGCAGAGGTTTAATATTATTTTATATGTTTTAATTATACAGTTATATTTTTATTTTATATATGTACTTTATTATATATAACAATGGCTTAACATTTATTTAAATCAACATATTTTTAAGCCTCTATAATAAAAACATTTTAAAAACAAAGACAAAGCTCATCTAACCATTTATAAAGTTCAACAGTTTCTTTCCAGATCTTTCCAGATCCTTTTTTTGACCTAGCCCTGTAAGAACTGTAGTTTAAACATGTGAGGTCCATCTTCTTTTTTTCCCTACTGCAAAATCCCCTGTCCTTCCAAGATCTTTCCATGCAACTCATGGCTTAAGCTGTGTCTGATCCTGAGTGGCAGTGGCCTTGGATGCCCCATGCTGTCTGCATGAAATCTCTTTCAGTCATTGGAGTTCTTGTTCACTCAGTGAGTGGAGAAACCTTCTATGTCCAGGCAGCAGGGGTCTAGAATGATACACAATCCCTTTGCCAAGAGGTTTTGTTTGTTTTCACATTTGTAGACTATTAGAAGTGGGAGAATTTACTCAGGTAATAGGGAGGGAAATTGCGAAGCTCTAGGAATTTTCTAGAGTGAATGGGTGGCCAGAGGACAGTGTTATTCTTAGAAGATACTTGCAATATAAATACTGTGATCTAAAAAGAATTTCTATTTACAGAACAAAAGTAGAAATGCAGAAAGGCTCAGATTAGCCTCAGCAGAAAAGGTAGACCTGTTCCTGATTCTTTAAAGCAATCTACCCCTCGATAGAGAAAACAGATTGCAAATTTTACCAATAGGAACTTAAAGGAGGGTGCCACTTCTGTTTTATGTTTCTGAAACAGCTTGGCAAAGTTTTTTTTATTATGGAGGAAAATTGAAATAGGAAAAATATCAATTATTATTATTTCAATAGTCACTGAACATAGAACTTGTGTTTAAGCCAGAACAATAGTGACAGGTATAGAATGCCGTCTTTGGATTCTGCATGCTTAGGCATGAACAATATAGCACCAGGTGTTGCCCATTCATTGGCCTCTCATATGTTCCTGAATTATTTACCAGGTTCATTACAATGAAATCCCAAGAGAACTAAAAGCCACTATTTCCCTTCAAGACATTTAAATTCTTGTACAGACTATCCAATCACTGAATGCAAAATTAAGAACTAAATATACAAACATGGCTATTTGCATCCTAATTTGGTTGAAATTTTATTGCTGCTAAGACTACTTTTTTTTCCTTTTCCTCTTTTTAAACTTAGACATCCCCTATGAAATTTTCTAGCAGACAATGATAATTGTAAGCCAAAGAGAGGTTATGCATGATAGGCTGAAATATTTATTTTTCCTATATTGCCCTTTTAATCATACTGGAAAATAAATATACCTATATTTGAACCATTGTTAAGTTCATACTAGTTTATCCTTACATCATATAGAAATATACATCAGTGTGTGTGTGTGTGTGTGTGTATAAAATCTTATCCTTACTACAACAATGTCATGTAAGGTAAACAACACCATTCCTCATCTTTATTTTTTAAATATTTTATTTATTTATTCATGAGAGACACAGAGAGAGGCAGAGACACAGACAGAGGGAGAAGCAGTCTCCTCACAGAGACCCCAATGTGGGACTCACTCCCCAGACCAGTATCACACCCTGAGCCAAAAGCAGAAGCTGAGCTACCCAGGCTTCCCCCATTCCTCTGAAGAGCAAAGAGGTAGAGAACCTGGATTCACATTTGCAGAGGCAGCACTTGAATACAGCAGTTTACGTTCCAAGGTCCATGTCCATCCAGTGTCTACCATAGATGGGAAAATTCTCAAAACTGACCTCTTCCAAGAGGACACCAAATGGCCTGATGGGTTTCTTCATGTTAAGTTCCCTGAGCTTAACTTCTATGAATTCCCTGGAGTATGGCACATAACAATGTCTCTATACCAGTATTTTTCAAGGGAAACAATTTTGCAGAGAATATTTGGCAATGTCTGGATATTATGATTATCAAAACTGAGACAGGGTGCTACTGACATCAGTAGATAGAGGCTAGGGATGCTGCTAAACATCCCACAATTCATAGGATAGTCCAAACAACAAAGAGTTATCCAGTTTCAAATGCCAATAATGCTAAAGTTGAGAAACCTTAGTTGACACTGGGTCCTAGAAGTGCTAACAATCTTAAGCTCAAATTATCTTTGGGAGATTCTATGAACATGATGGGGTAGTCTATATGAACACAAATTTCCTGCGGGATAAATTCCAATGGTTCCCTTGGACAGACTGAAATTTCTGTCATGGAACTTTGAGTGCTAGGTCCCCATTCAATCCATAGATATCTAGTGTAGGAACTTATATACCACGCTACTGCCATGGAGCTGGCATTCAACTCCAACATTAGCACACATTTAGAGATTCAGAAACGAGGATCTGGTGAAACAGTGAACGGCTTAGTCACTGAGAGGAGAGTTGAATGATTTCAAAAAGTGTTGAGTGACTGGGAAATTGGGGAATAGTGTGCCAAATAGGATAATGGTGAGGGATTTGACAACAAGATAGATACAGGACGTAAGGCACAAAAAGAAAGATTTGCTAGATTCCTCCAAGAGCAATCCTTGCCCTTGCCCCCATACATAAAATCTCTAGAAGTAAACTGTCTAGGCCAGACCCAAGACCACACATGGGTGGGACTTACAATTTATTTGGCAGATTACAGTCCTGTCCAGTTATTACGATCAGGAAAGCAGACGTTGCATTAGCTACATCTTGAGTGCAAGATAGTCTTTTACAGATTCATGAGTTTGAAAGTTCCCCCATGTCTTTCTATAAAATCCCTTCTATTCTTCTACACATTATTTCTGGCCATTGAAAAACTAGTCCTACAACTACTGTCTTTTAAAAAGTTGTGCAGTTGATGGGACTTCTGCTTCATGAAGAGTTAACTGCTATAGGAATTGCCTTCCTACTGTAAACTATTTGAAAACTAGACAAAATATATGAAACTGCCCTTTTCAGACACTGGATAGCAGATATAGAACTTGGAAAACAAATGAGGTGGACCCTACAACTGACTGACATACATACAGTGAAATATAAAAAATATTCTTTCAATGATTATAATTGACCTAAAGTTATTGCCTGGAGGCAGTTTCTAGGCTACATCCCAGGAAGGAAACCCAAACATAGCCTAAGTCTTGCTGAAGTAATGAGAACAGATTGGAGTTTGGGGAGGTCAAAGCAGATAGAATTTGTGAGGCAGAGGAATGAAGAAGAAAGAAATACAAAGAGAGAGAGGCCTTTGGAAATCTGCAGGGTAGCTTCTCAGTCTTTTGCTGAGTACTGAACTAGGCATGAATGAGAGGCAACTACTTGAAATGGAAGACAGCCACTGCTAGGCAGTTGCTGAACAATTCCTGGAGCTCACACAGGGCTGGCTGGAAATACTTTGTGTTCTCATCAGCCAGAGTGGAGAAACCTCATATTATATAAGACATTGGATAGAATCCTCAGTACTATCATATCTTAGTAGTGGAACTAAACCCTAGAAGCTAATCTAGTCTAGGTACTACTGGACTCTAGTTTTTTGGGAGGATATGCCCTAATAAGGCTTAAAAGAAAGCCTCAAAAGGATCACAAAAAAAAAAACTGGACTGATCCATAAAAAATTGAACTGCTTTCCAGGACACAACCCAATGCCCTTTAAAAAGGAATACAGGATGCAGCACTCAAAAACATAAAACTCAAAATGTCCATCATCCAATAAAAAATTACTGGGCATGCAAAGAATAAAAAATATGATCTACAACCATACATTAAAAAAATCAATTGGGGCTGAATGGCTCAGTTGATTAAGGATCTAACTCTTGATTTCAGCTCAGGTCTTGATCTCAGGGTTGTGAGACTGAGCTCCATGGTGGGCTCTGTGTTCAGTGAAAAGTCTGCTTAAGATCTCTCTGTCCCTCTCCCACTGCTCCTCCATCCTCCCACTCTCTCTCTCTAAAATAAATAAATCTTTAAAAAAATAAAAAAATCTATAAAAACAAATACAGAAATGATATAATTAGCACACAAGGATCTTAAAACAACTATTATAAGTATGATCAAAGAAATGAAGCAGAACATGAACAAAATTAGGGGAGAAGTGAATATAAAAAAGACTCAAATAGAATTCTAGTGATAAAAATTAATCCTGAAAGTAAAAATGCAAAATTAATCCTGAAAGTAAAAGTACAACAGATTAGACACTACAAAAATAAAATACTGGTTAAAGGCAGAGCATTAGAAATTATCCAAAATGAAGCAGAGAGAGAAAAACAATTGATAAAAATGGACATAGCCTCAGCGACTTATAGAATAGCAAGTGGTCTAGTACACATGTAATTGGATCCCAGGGAATAAAGGTGGGAGAGGGGGGAAATAGAAAAAAGTATTTGAAAGAAATGGCAAAAAATGTTTGTATTTGATTAAAAAGTATATACCTATAGATCCAAGAAGCTCAACCAAAACCTGAGCAGAATAAATGTTAAAATACACATACATACACTAATGCACATTATAAGGAAATTAGTGAAAACTCAAAATAAAGATAAAATCTTAGCGGCAGCTAGATTATGTACAGAGGAATAACAGTAAGACAACATAATTTGAAATTATGTAAACCGTAAGAGAACTGAAAGATATCTTATAGTAATGAAATAAAAATAAAGTCAACCCAGAATATAATACCCAGTGAAAATGTGTTTCAGTGAAAAGTTTTTTTTAAAAAAAAGACATTTTGAGACAAAGAAAAACTGAGAGACATGTACTATAAGAAATATTAGAGGAAGTTCCTCAGGCAGAAGAAAAAATGTTATGTATCCAGATGCAAA